CTAGGATATGATGGGAAGGCGATTGCATCTGGCACGGAATGTTGATGACCTCGTTCGACAATTGGATCGAATTTGGCAGGAAATACCGCAAGAGACCATCCGGGAGCTTTATCGGTCTATGCCACGCCGTGTGGCAGCTTGTATCCAGACTAGAGGCGGGTCAACACCTTATTGAACTTGTTACTGTAACTCTGCAATAAACAGTTCAATTGTTCTGAAATTTTAATCATTTACTATTCTGTACATTGTCTTCCTATCCACCAATTTTCGTTTCAATCGGACAACTCCTTCTTGGTGCGTCGATTTTTTTGTTATAGAGTGCATATATATATTGACGTGTCAGTGTGGCCGAGAGGTTGGAGTCGTCGTCCTGGAAAGACTGAGATTCAGGGTTCGATCCGCAGAACTGTAAGAAAATATAAAACTCTAAAATAAGCTTTTATTTATTGTTTATGTTTCTTCTAGAAGTTTCTAGAATGTTCTAGCATATCATTTCCTGTTCCTGTCACTTCCTGTTATTATTCCTATAAAAGACTGGATGTCTCTAGCCGAGGCCCAGTTACTTTGTTCACTGTACCTTGTAGGTGTTGAATAAAGCTCTCCAACTTTGTAGACTAAGTCCTAGTTATTCTACGTGACATTTGGTGGAGGCGCCAGGTACTCGAAGCAGATCTGGCCGATGATTTAAGAAGGAGTCGCCGTTTAAGAGGTTTGGAGCCCGAATATCCAAAAATGGCCGAAACACCTGTCACTACTCCAATTTTTCAACACATTCGTAATCCATCTTCTTTCTCTGGAGAATCCAACCAAGATCCTGGAGCTTGGTTAAAAGAATATGATCGTGTCGCTAAATATAACAATTGGGACGACGGAACATGCCTTGCAAATGCTTACTTTTTTCTAACTGGAACAGCCAAACAGTGGTTTGAAAATAATGAAGGCAGTTTAACATCATGGGAAGTATTTCAAACTAGCTTGAAAGGTACATTCTCTGATAGTCTGTAATCAGTACATCGTGCAGAAGAAGAATTGAAAACCAGAGCTCAACTACCAGGAGAAACAAGTCTTTCATACATACAAGCAGTGCTGGGATTATGCCATCGTATCAACCCTAGCACGAGTGAAGCAGACAAGGTTTCTCATCTTATGAAGGGCCTCGCGGAAAATATTTATCAAGTTCTACTGACAAAAGGAGTAACCACGACTACAGCTTTCATCGAATGCTGTCAACATGTTGGCTCGTGGCAGCAGCGACGCATTAATCGAAGGAAATTTGCCGTTTCCGTTGCATCTCTCGACGACAATTTTGACCTATTGTCAATGATACGCCAAGTGGTTCAAGAAGAAATCGCCCGACTATTTCCTGTTACTGTTCCAACTCCTGAACCAACAATTGACAGTTTAGAAGAAGTTATACGACATGAAGTTGTGAAGACCTTAGCACCCTTGACCGAAACAAACTTCAACCGAAACAAAGATTTCTTTAGTTTTAAACCAACGATACCTGTTTTATACTCAGAAGCACTACGCCGCCAGCCATCTAGAACTCCAGTTGCTCCTTCTCGGCAAACTTATGAGCCACGCCGTCCCCAATTACCCCGTCGCAAAACCGATATCTGGAGAACAGAGGATAACAGGCCAGTGTGTTATCACTGTGGTCATCCAGGTCATGTGTACCGACACTGCCGTGAAAGGCAGACATTTCAAGACTATAATCCATGACAAAGAGAGACGATCATTTCAGACAAAGGTGCTGGTCCCAGTTGTCAACTTAGGAGTTCGTCGCCACAATATGAAGAACGAAGACGATCACCATCCCCATATAGGAGTAGAAATAGATCACCCTCTCAATACAGGCGTTCTAGTCGCTCACCATCTAGGCGTTCAATGGAAAACTAGAAGAAACGCCCTTCTTCGGAGGTAAGGTCGCTAAGGAAGAAAACCCTCCAACAGTGGCCTAGATGAAGGACAATAAACTCGAAATAATTATGGAAAATAAACCAGCGACAGCTCTTATTGATTCTGGAGCATCTTTTTCTGTCATTTCTGACGAATTTCGAAAAACTGTATTAGGAAAAACTATGCTGACCGATAAGTCTAGTTTATTCATAAAAGTAGCCGATGGAAAATACGTTAACCCGATTGGACGTTGTACCATAAGATTGACAGTTAGCAACCGAACGCAGCCGTATGAATTCATTGTACTGGAAAAATGTAGCCATGATGTAATTTTGGGTTGGGACTTCTTACACGCCTCACAGGCTATAATTGACTGTGGCCGCAAGGAACTAGTGCTGGAAGATACTTGGGACGAAATAGCACATAAGGAACTCCAACAAAGCCGACTTTTTGTTGCAGAGGATTGTGATATTCCTCCTATGACCATAAAAAGAATTAAAGTGGAAACAACAATTGGGTGCAAAGAAAGCAAAGGTCTACTGGTTCAATGCGGTAGATTTCTAACACTGCAACGAAATATAGTGTTCCCATCGTCTATTATACAGAAGGATAAAGATGGACTCCACGTATGGGTTTCTAATTTCTCTTATCACTCCACTTGTCTTCCCAAGGATATATGCATTGGGCATGCGGAAGAAATTGAAGAACACAATCTCTGCAGTTTTGACTCCGAAAATGTAGCTGAATCAACAGGCAAAGGATTACGACCTGAAGTAAATTTCAATAGTATGCTCGCCCCAGGCCTATCAACTGAACATAGAACTAGCTTGAATAATTTGTTAAGGGAATTCAAAAACGTTTTTCTACCGAAGAAAAATCGATCCGAAAACGTCGTGAAACATCGCATAAATACAGGAGATCATCAGCCTATGAGCCAAAGACCATATAGAGTTTTAGTTCTGAGCGGCTTATTATTCAAGACGAGGTAGACAAAATGCTTACTCGAGACATAATTCAGGAATCTCAAAGTCCATGGTGTTCTCCTGCAGTTATTGTTCAAGAAAAAAGATGGAAGTTGGCGTTTCTGTATCGACTACCGGAGATTAAATAAAGTAACCAAAAAGGATGTATACCCGTTACCCAGGGTAGACGATATTCTAGATTGCTTAAAGAACGCAAATTACTTTTCATCTATGGATTTATTTTCTGTATATTGGCAAGTAGAAGTCGATGAAGCTGATCGTGAAAAAACTGCTTTTGTAACCTCTGACGGCCTATATGAATTTAAGGTTATGCCGTTTGGACTTTGTAATGCTCCCGCCACCTTTGAAAGAATGATGGATAATTTATTACGGCATTTGAAGTGGAAAGTTTGTCTGTGTTATCTTGACGACATTGTAGTATTCTCAGATACTTTTGCCGAACACGTGCGACGTCTGAAGATTGTTTTAAATTGTCTTGATACAGCAGGATTACAACTCAATGCGAAGAAATGTCTATTTGGCTCAAGGAAACTCAAGGTACTTGGTCATGTCGTTAGTACAGAAGGAGTAGAGCCAGATCCAGATAAAGTCATGGCTATTGCTAAGTATCCTGTACCTACTTCAATTTCAGACATCAAAAGTTTCCTCGGACTTTGTTCCTACTATCGTAGGTTTATAAAAGACTTTTGTACCAAAGCGTATCCTCTGCAGAAACTGTTAAAAAACGATGAGAAGTTCATGTGGTCAGAAGAACAGCGCTACTCGTTTGAAATTTTGAAGGCCGCTCTAACCACCGAACCAGTATTGGGTATATTCGATCATGATGCCCCCACAGAGTTACACACTGATTCCAGTGGCTATGGCATTGGATCAGTGTTAGTTCAAACTCAGAAGGGAAAAGAGACTGTAATTGCATATGCCTCTAGAGTACTGACCAAGGCTGAAACAAATTACTCGACAACGGAACGTGAATGTCTTGCTGCTATCTGGTCCATCAGTAAATTTCGTCCTTATCTTTTTGGAAGACCGTTCACCATTATAACAGATCATCATTCTTTATGCTGGCTTGCAGGTTTGAAAGATCCTTCTGGTAGGTTAGCTCGGTGGGCTCTCAGACTACAGGAATTCAATGTAACTATTGTTTATAAGTCCGGTCGTATACATAAAGATGCTGATTGCCTATCACGACATCCACTACCACTTACTGAAAATGATCCAGAAAAGAGTATAACTACCATCACAAATCTCGCGGAAGAGCAGGACAGAGACCAGGAGATAACAACTTTGAAGACGAATATAGGGCAGCGAAGTAATGATTCAAATTATAAAATTATGGATGGTATACTCTGTAAGCGGAATTATGAATCTGTCGGAAGACAGTGGTTACCGATTATTCCTTTTAAGTTACGCCTAGAAATTCTTCATCACTTTCACGACGCGCCAACAGCAGGTCATTTGGGATTTGCCAAAACATTGGATAGAATAAGAAAGCGCTTTTATTGGCCTAGACTGTACCGGAGTGTTAGGCGGTACGTTTCTCATTGTAAGGAATGTCAACGGCGTAAACGTCTGCCGCAAAGGCCGCCTGGAAGCTTGATGCCGATCCCTCCTGCGGAAGCCCCTTTTCATAGAATAGGTATTGATTTGTTGGGACGCTTCCCTAAGTCACTTTTAGGAAATAAATGGATTGTAGTGTGTACAGACTATTTGACTAGATTTGCCACTACGAAAGCTCTACCCAACGCTGAAGCCCCCGATGTAGCAAAATTCCTGCTTGAAGACATTCTGTTAAAACATGGCTCTCCAAGAGTTCTCATCTCGGATCGGGGATCTGTGTTTCTCTCGAGGATTGTATCGGAGCTATTGAAACTCTGCGACGTGGATCATCGCACTACAACAGCCTAACATCCTCAGACTAATGGCCTCACGGAAAAATTTAACAATACGTTAGCTGATATGCTGTCTGTGTATGTTGACGTTGAACAGAAAGATTAGGATGCTATTTTACCCTTTGTCACTTTCGCCTANCCTCACGGAAAAATTTAACAATACGTTAGCTGATATGCTGTCTATGTATGTTGACGTTGAACAGAAAGATTGGGATGCTATTTTACCCTTTGCCACCTTCGCCTATAACACCGCTAAACAAGAAACTACTGGCTTCACACCATTTTATCTTCTTCACGGTTATGAAGCTGAAACAACTTTAGACACAATGTTTCCTAACCAACCTGGATTTGAAACTGATTATGTTGCGCATCTTGTCTGCAAAGAAGAAGCTAGACAACTTGCTCGCCTTCGTACCATTGATGCGCAAGAAAAAGACAAGAAGCAATACGATGCGAAACACCGACCAATGTCTTATGAACCAGGTGAACTTGTTTGGATTTTTAGACCAATTCGAAAAGTTGGGTTGTCCGAAAGACTATTAAAGAAGTATTTTGGACCTTACAAAATAAAGCGAAAGTTATCTGATGTTACTTACGAGGTCGAAGACGTTGCACCATCTACAAGGCGCAAAACTACAGACACCGTCAACGTGGTGCGCATGAAGCCTTACCATGACCCATCGTTTCAATTAGAACCATATGGAACCGAAAATGCAGAAAAACAGAGAAGCTACAAAACCAAGAAACAATCTAAGAACGAGAGTAAGTTGGAGTATCGAGGACCAACCACCCGATCACGTGCCAGAGCAGTCAAAGAGTGAAACAGCGAGGACGCTGTTTTTTTTCCTAGGAGGAAACTATGACGTGTCAGTGTGGCCGAGAGGTCGGAGTCGTCGTCCTGGAAAGACTGAGATTCAGTGTTCGATCCGCAGAACTGTAAGAAAATATAAAACTCTAAAATAAGCTTTTATTTATTATTTATGTTTCTTCTAGAAGTTTCTAGAATGTTCTAGCATATCATTTCTTGTTCCTGTCACTTCCTGTTATTATTCCTATAAAAGACTGGATGTCTCTAGCCGAGGCCAGTTACTTTGTTCACTGTACTTTGTAGGTGTTGAATAAAGCTCTCCAACTATGTAGACTAAGTCCTAGTTATTCTACGTGACAATATTGCTAATGATATCACAGTTTTCATTCATTTAAAATTTTGTTTTTTTTTAATCGGAAATTATTTTTTTTGTAGATCAGAAAAAAATTTAGTAAAGATAATTACTGATATCAAAGAAATAAATTGCAAATGAAATGTCCTTTCTGAATATCTCTGCAGACAAGGAAAGAGTAATTACATTGCTGAAATCTAAACAAAATAAAAACCTTAAAGAATTTTTGAAAAATAAACAATATATATTTTTAACCTTAACCTTAAATATGGTTGTTTTCAAATTAGTTTTACTAGCTTTGCAGCAAACTCCCACAAGAATCTATTTTTCAAATATTTTTATACTTAAGTTATAAAATCACACGCATTCAAGAAGATTGTGGTATTTTTGATAAATGTAAATCATTTTAAATCTTGGGAAAAATTAAGTGCTCCTATACTTTTTACAGCAATTTCGTAACCATTTCATTAAAACTTCCGAGATGTTATTTATTTTATAAAAGTTTTTTTTTTGAAGTAGAAAAGAATAACTTAAAAATAATCTGAGATCGAGCAAAGTTCTCCATTTGTTGTTTTAAGGGTAGAGAATTAGCTAAAAGATTTTATTTCCTAGAAAAATCTATAGATATATGGCTTACTTGGGTTGCCCTAATAACTCCCCTCCAATTCTTGTTGTTTGTTTCAATATTTCTTACATTTTTTAAAATTTTACTTGGAAAATCTACAGAGAATGCTTATAAAATTATAAGTTGCTTTCATTGAGTTTTCTATATAAAATATATTAACTTCTGACATTCAAAATGAATGTTGTTTTTCTTCATAATTTTATGAACACTTTAAATTTTTACAAATTATAAATAAAATAAGTTTCTAAAAAACGAAATAAAGAATACATTAAATACACAAGTGGGCGACCTTTGTGCTAAAATGCAAAACTAAGGCAAACAACGTTAAAGAGCATTTTAATTAACTAAAGTAACTATATAAAATAATCATGAATTAAAAAAAAATGTAAAAACAATTCCTGTAAACAAATTTAAATTTCTTAAAAATTCTTTTCATTTTTGAAAAGGAAGTATAACTATCAATCACAATATTAATTAAAAAAGTTATATGTATCTATCAAAACAAATCAAGTTTTTTCGAAACGAATAAAAAAAAAGTATGGTCAAAACTATTAGAACAGTGTTCCTTAATCTTTTTTGATATAATGGACCCCTTTTAAAAATTTTTACGAAGTCACGGACCACCCCCCTATGAAAAAAAATAATTGCAAAAAACATCAATTATTAGAAAACATTTAATTTTATTATTTTAATAGTATACAAAATTTTTAAAATTAAAATTTTTTATGTGAAGGTTGCTGCTGCTTTTCCCTAATTAATAAATTGCATTGGGGGATGGTTTTCGACAAAGCAACGTGCATATCATGTTCAACATTCAATCGATTTCTATGTTATGTTTTTATTGTCACAATTGTAGAAAATCCCGCTTCGCAAAGATACACTGTAGCAAACGGAATTACAGCTGCCATAGCTCGTTTTACGGGCAATGAGTAGGCTTTCAAACGTTTTAAAAATTAGTAGTCAGCGGACCCCCAAATTATAACTCATGGACCCCTTAGGGCTTCATGAACCACAGGTTAAGAAACCCTGCTCTAAGCTCTTATAAATTGCCATTTTTAGAAGGAATTTTTTAACTTGAGAATCTGGAGCAACAAACTGAAAGAATGTTTGGCAAAGTATCTCAAAATATTGCACACAACACTACAACGACCACTGTTTTTAAAATTATAGAAAACGATATAAAGAGTTTACTTGCGTAAAAAATATGTTTCTGTGAAAAAGCTAAGATTAAGATTCTCGATAAAGTATATGCTTTCAGCTATATAGATCTGTTGCAGAATAATTCCTGCCTTCCTTCCTTGATTAAATGTGCTCCCGATGAATCTCNCGGTACGTTTCTCATTGTAAGGAATGTCAACGGCGTAAACGTCTGCCGCAAAGGCCGCCTGGAAGCTTGATGCCGATCCCTCCTGCGGAAGCCCCTTTTCATAGAATAGGTATTGATTTGTTGGGACGCTTCCCTAAGTCACTTTTAGGAAATAAATGGATTGTAGTGTGTACAGACTATTTAACTAGATTTGCCACTACGAAAGCTCTACCCAACGCCGAAGCTCCCGAGGTAGCAAAATTCCTGCTTGAAGACATTCTGTTAAAACATGGTTCTCCAAGAGTTCTCATCTCGGATCGTGGATCTGTGTTTCTCTCGAGGGTTGTATCGGAGCTATTGAAACTCTGTGACGTGGATCATCGCACTACAACAGCCTACCATCCTCAGACTAATGGCCTCACGGAAAAATTTAACAATACGTTAGCTGATATGCTGTCTATGTATGTTGACGTTGAACAGAAAGATTGGGATGCTATTTTACCCTTCGTCACTTTCGCCTATAACACAGCTAAACAAGAAACTACTGGCTTCACACCATTTTATCTTCTTCACGGCTATGAAGCTGAAACAACTTTGGACACAATGTTTCCTAACCAACCAGGATTTGAAACTGATTATGCTGCGCATCTTGTCTGCAAAGCAGAAGAAGCTAGACAACTTGCTCGCCTTCGTACCATTGATGCGCAAGAAAAAGACAAGAAGCGATACGATGCAAAACACCGACCAATGTCTTATGAACCAGGTGAACTTGTTTGGATTTTTAGACCAATTCGAAAAGTTGGGTTGTCCGAAAAACTATTGAAGAAGCATTTTGGACCTTACAAAATAAAGCGAAAGTTATCTGATGTTACTTACGATGTCGAAGACGTTGCCCCATCTGCAAGGCGCTAAACTACAGACACCGTCAACGTGGTGCGCATGAAGCCTTACCATGACCCATCGTTTCAATTAGAACCATGTGAAACCGAAAATGCAGAAAAACAGAGAAGCTACAAAACAAAGAAACAATCTAAGAACGAGAGTAAGTTGGAGTATCGAGGACCAACCACCCGATCACGTGCCAGAGCAGTCAAAGAGTGAAACAGCGAGGACGCTGTTTTTTTCCTAGGAGGATGCTATGACGTGTCAGTGTGGCCGAGAGGTTGGAGTCGTCGTCCTGGAAAGACTGAGATTCAGGGTTCGATCCGCAGAACTGTAAGAAAATATAAAACTCTAAAATAAGCTTTTATTTATTATTTATTTTTCTTCTAGAAGTTTCTAGAATGTTCTAGCATATCATTTCCTGTTCCTGTCACTTCCTGTTATTATTCCTATAAAAGACTAGATGTCTCTAGCCGAGGCCCAGTTACTTTGTTCACTGTACCTTGTAGGTGTTGAATAAAGCTCTCCAACTTTGTAGACTAAGTCCTAGTTATTCTACGTGACAATATATATATATATAAACATAGTTGAACAGCCAACCCAATTTTGGGTTTACGACTACTATAGTTCAACTCCGTAGTCTTGACATTTTTGGATCTAGTGACTCCTGGATCTAGTGTTGGAAATAATTTGTTTTCGTGGAAAACTTTTTGATGGAACACTAACCCGCATTTGCGTTACATGGAGGGAAAAAACCACGAAAACCTACCGCAGTTAGCCTGATGGTAATGGGACTCTAACCCATGATCCGTCAACCACTGAGGATATTATACGTTTGCATTGTGGTCGGTGGGAGCCGGGTAGTGAATTCGTATCAACCAACCATCGCTGGGATTTTAATCCAGTTCACCTCATTGGAAGGCCAACGCTGTAATCCCCTGAGCCACCACAGCTCGAGCTCTTATCCGGTAAAGAAGACAAATGCTGCAATATAAAGAGATGAGTTGTAGTTGAAAGAACCATTAAATAGACTTCTGAACACCGAGTGTTGTTTGGCAAAGAAAATATAACTGTGTAAGAACATTTGTTTTTTACCAGACCTCAGAGCTATAAAGTGGTATCTTAAAAGAAATTTCTGTGATCACTATTAAATTTTTCTAAGACCTGTGGAATAGTCCATTAAGGCAGAGGGGGTATGAATTGTTTTTGTTTTCCAGTGGCGCCATCTATGCCAGGAAATCAACTTCTGCTACACCCTTACGTCACACCTGCTTCATCCACAGATCGTAATTTTGATCCGAACCAGAGAACAATCAATCTCCAATCCAGTACCCCTGAGATATAGTTGGTTATGGAGGATTTTGTGCCCCGACAGGTTTAAAGTGCACCAGTCACCATTTACTACACTGGTCTTAGGTCAGCTGGATTCGAAATCCCGTTCTCACGAGCGTGAGTCCAACGCCCCACCAACCAGTGTTTTCCAGCCTCTACAAAACATTTATTTAGTTTAAGCAATAAATGTCTGCCACCTTCTTTCAAAAATGTACTTTTTACAGTATTGCAAAGTATTGCGTTTTTGCAACGTTAATCTAGAATTGAAAAATATTTTTGTCGTTAGTCTTTTTTCGCACACCAATCTGTTGTAAACTAATGACTTCTGTTGGATTTACGTTTGAGATCATATTGTCTTGGCAGTTATTTTTAAAAAGAAACACAATGGGTCTAAATGTCAAAGAACTATTAGGCACAGAAGGATTAAAAAAAAAAGAATCAAGGAGCTAAGATTTCTTAACAGAGCTTTTCTTGAATGGAAAGCTTAAGTACTTTCAATGTGTGCGCTTGATGTATACGAACGTTGAGTTGTAGGAAGTAAAAATAGGAATAAAATCTATCGTAGACACCCCTCTATATTTATAGAATACTCATTTTCAGAAACGCTTTTAAAACTGTACCCTAAAAAAGAACTACTGAATGACTAGTAGGTTGAATACGCATAATTTTTTCTCATAAACTAGATTTCTCTAATTTTATGCTAGTTCAAAGTTTCTGTCAAGTTTGTCTAATTTTTATTTAAAAAAAAAAAAAATTACAATTAAAATGGTAGAGAAATTTATGTGTTCATAGTTTCCTTTTATGAATTGGCGAAATGTGAACACAGATGGGCATTGGAAATAAAATAAAAACGTTTCCTTTTATCTGAATAAATTTAGTTTGAAATGATTTTGATCTTAATGATATATTTATCTTAATGCTATAACCGTCGTTGAACAGCCGACTCTGCTAATATTCAGACTCCGCAGCCTTGTAATATTGAACCCAATCCAGAAGCAAGGGGGAACTTCTGGATCAAGCAATGCGATAAATTTGAGTTCGTGGAGGACTTTCTTAATGATACTAACCCGCATAAGCATTACATGGCGATCAAAACCACGGAAACCTCTCATGGTTAGCTTGACGGCAAGGGTACTTTAAACCCTGATCCGTCTGTCACTGAAGATATTTTGCGTCATCACAGTGGGCATTGCAAACCGGATGCGGAATTCATATCGACCAGCCATCGCTGAGATTCGAACCCGGTTTACCTCATTGAAAGGCGAATGCTCTATCCCTGAGCCATCACGGCTCTAATAATATATTTATATCATTGGGGAAAAAATCTTTATGACTAAGCCAAAAAAAAAAAATTTGTAACTGTGCAACTGATGAAGAGGGCAATATTAGATTACCGCTGACGTTGCGTTTTCTTTAATACATAAGTAATACTTTTTGCTAATGTATAAATTAACATTTTGGAATAAACTTAGGAGTATGGAATTAAGGGTTAAGCTGAAATGATAATTTCTGATGTTTTTACCAATATTGTAATTGTATGATAATATTGTAAAAATATTGTAATTGTATGATTCAAATTTAAAAAAAATATTTATAATTTTAATATAATTTGATGAACATGAATGTCTTGTTTGACCCAAATAAATTTCAAATATGAAATAGTTAAGTTACCAATATTTTATACATATTTTTACACACACACACACACACATATAAATATATATATNAGATAGATAGATAGATAGATAGATAGATAGATAGATAGATAGATAGATAGATAGATAGATAGATAGATAGATAGGTAGATAGATAGATAGATAGATAGATAGATAGATGGATAGATAGATTAAACCTATTTCTATCTAGCTTCATTTTAAAATAAAAAATAAATTGTAAGTTAGTGCAATTTTAAATGCTTTATTTTGTAAACATTTTTGTTTTACATATTTTGTGTTGCTGGGCAAAAACTATAAGACTTAGAATCGCGAAAGTCTGTAGAAAAATGTGTACGACGGACGGAATAAAAAGAAAATTATATTCAGCTATTCGTTCATGAATTACCAACTGTAAAAATCGTAAAAATTACTATGCTGGCTGCTTTAATTTAACAACTGCTTCGAAATCAGTCGAGCTGAAAGAGTCATCCTTATTTATGAACTTGACCCAAGTATTTTCCAAACTAACAATTTTTTCGAAAATTATTGCAATTTTAAATGCATTCATTACATTTTTTTCACCTATTTGTTTTAAATAATAATTCTTTATCCATCATTGTAGACAAATCAATTTCTCGAGACCTTCATTTTATAACTAGCACTTGACATAATGCTAAAAGTAATAAAATGAATGAATAAATAATTAAAAAATAAGATATTAATATTGCTAGCTATATATCTTGAAAATGTTTACAAAATTTTTGAAAATATTAAACTTTCGCGAGGGTTCGAAATCGTTTTCAATTTGAACTATTATGCAATGCAAAATTATTGTTATATATTTTTAAGAACTTTATTTCTTCATTTTGTGTCACACATTCCTAAATTCAAGTATGTCCCTGAAGTGGACTGATCGTAAAGACACAGTAGAATACGCGGGTGGGTGACCACTTTGATCAGCCTACGAGGTCTTCGTTCTACCATACGCATAACTGTGCTCGCATGTCGTCAGGCTACCAAAGCGGATCATCAGAGGATCAAACTTGTGGTGGCATTTATCATCCTAGGGGGTGTTTCCCAGACCATCGACAATGTCCCATTGTGCAGCTCTAGTTCAACGTAAATAAAATACCTACCTTTTTCAATTACAGTTGATTATTTTTAAATGTAGGTAATGGTTTATTTTGTTACGAATAATATATTAACAAATTATTTTTACGTAGAATACATATATAATAATTACATATTTAGACAGAATAAGCTTTATTTTTGAAAAATATCGACTTTTAAGAAAAGACTAATAGAGATAGTTTTTTTAAAAATTATTTAGACAATTTTTAGTTCATTCATTAATTTTCTTCTTTGTTGCAATTAGGTGAATCCTGGCAGTCTTGCTGAACAAGCAGGCATGATGACGGGTGATGCCATCCTGAAAATCATGAATAAAAGCACTGACAGCATGAAACACAAAGAAGCTCAAGATGCCATTATCAGAGCTGGAAACAACATTGAGCTTACCATTCAAAGGTCAAAAAAACCATGCTTAAAAATTTCACTAATTTAATGCTCTTATTTATTTGTTCAATTATACAGGAGCTTTTTTGAACAAATTTTTTGTTTAGAGAAAATGTTAGTATTGAATCAAAAACAATTAGGTTGATTTTCTATACTTAAATGTGTTTTTCGTTCCTTGGGTACAACTTTTTTCTCACTTTATGTATTTTAAGAGAGATAAAATTGTTATGCTTATTTGGGTGGCCCTATAGCTATATCCTAATTTCCAGAAATTGCAATTTTGCTGCTCCTACATTCTAATTTTATTCCAAACAACATCAAAAAAACGCTATAAAATTTCACTTGATTCGGACCTACTACAAAGCGATCGCCTTTTAGTTCAACAACTCAATAAGAATTTAAAATTATATTGCCTTTTTCTTCTATAATACACTAATTTTTACTATGGAACCACAATATATGATTTATATAGAATCAATACATACTTGTAAAAATAATTAAATGTTTCCTTCCTAAAAGGTGATTTAAAAGCTCTATTTGTATTTTATTGTATTCCGAAACGATCTGTTAAAGATATTGTTTTTCATCTTTTTCTTGCATTTGTTTATTTTTAGCATCATTTACAACTCTAATCATGTTTTTTTCATTTCATTTTAACTTTTATTTTATTTTAACTTTCATTTCCTTTTCATTTTAACACAACGCTCTTCAAATTTTGTTTAAAAAATTTTTTCTTAAAAATGGTATATTTTATTGCTACAAATTTAACGAAGTTTTTATTCTTTTAATTTCACTAAGTATTTTACAGAAATGAAAAAATTATTTTCTTGCAATTCAAATTAATTTGAGATGGATTGTGAAAAAGTTGACACTTTTAAAATCTTTTTTCGCCCTAAGCAATTATTTTATGAATGCTTTTTTATATTATTATAGTGGGTATTTTTAGCTCTGTGTGTAACAAACAGCAGAGCTATAAGATTTTTGAAAATATAAAAAACTTGTGGTATAAATTGTTATTTCAAGAGAAGTAAATTATCTTGGAATGCCACTAATTATTAATTTTTGAAATATATATATACCTCCCATAAAAAGTCAGTGTGATTACAGTTCGATCTGAAGTACCATTGGTCAGTAAAGTGGGTCTCCCAGTGATCCACCACTGATAGCAAAATTTCTTATTTAAAAAATTTAAAAGATTATTAATCACCACGATAACCCTTTAACTCAAAAAACTCAAGCAATATGCAGAACGTCTATTGGATAAAAAGTAGATTTGGTTGCAAATTCACAGAAATTTCATTTTTTTTTTTTTAATGAATAGTTTACTACCGATTAAATAATTTCTTTGGACAACTGTGTGGTCTAATTTTCTCACTATTGATTAAATGCAACAAAAAAAATTATTTCAATATTAATTTTAAATGGATATTCTTCTGTTCTGAAAATTGCTTGGGTTATTAATGTCCATGTTATTAGATAGCGAAATAGTGTATAGGGGAGAAAAATTCTATCAAATTTGCCTCTCTGCCAAATCGCCAGTGGGTTAAACTCAAACAGTATACAGAAATCTCTAAACGACACTCTTTTTATACGTTTATTGGAAGAAAAGTAAAAATGGTAGCATAATCTCCGAAATTTCCATTTTCTTTGATGAATAGTTTACTAGTGATTGAATAATTTCTTTGGACTACTTGGACATCTGTTTTACTTGCCATCGATTAATTTCAAAAAAAAAAAATATATATTTAAATATTAAATTTAAATGGAAATTCTTCTGTTGTGAATGATGTGTAGGGTAAACGACATTCTTTTTTACATGTATTGGATAAAAAGTAGAAGTGGTTGCAAAATAAAAAAAAAATTCCATTTTCTTTGATGAATAGTTTACTACCGATTGAATAATTTCTTTGGACCCATGGGTGGTCTCCGTTACTCACCATCGATTAATTTCGAAAAAGAAATTATTTAAATGGAAAATATTCTGTTGAGAATAATGTTTAGGGTTGCGGTTTTCTGGTGTGAACGATACATTTTTTTTTTACAGGGGTGGTGTGAGAGTGTGGAAGCCCACTGTCACACCTGTAGGTGACATGCCGACGGTGACAAGCCCACCCGCCTCAGGCCTCTACACGAAGACTTCTTTAGCAGCCAAAAAACAGGTAAATCTATTCTGTCTTATACAATCAGCTGTCAATATTTGCTTTTCACGCGGCCAAATCTTGCGACAGCTTAGTCAATATGTGTCTACAACTACGATTGTAATTTATTCAACAATACTATACGATGTCTGTATACTTGTTGCAGGAAATGGGAAAATTTTTTTGAAGAAATTTGGACAATTGCTGTCTTTTTATTTTGAAAGCTTCCGCAAACTTTGCATACATTTCTTCTTCGTCACATAGTTGAAACAGTTATGTTGAAAATAGAAAACTTTACATATACTACTACTCTATTTAATTAGGTTTAATAGATCTCCCAAACTCTTGTCAGTTTTCAAAAAATTAATTTAAAACTGTGTATACGCACACAAAGAATTAGAGTAAGTTTTATTTAGAACTAAAGTTGAGTTTCTCTGCAAACAGCTTCAAACATTTTCCAGCTATTAATTTTATTTTATTATTGAATTTATTTTATTTTTGATTTTATTTCATTTTTGATTTTATTGTATTTTTGATTTTATTGTATTTTTGATTTGATTTTATTATTGATTTTATTTCATTACTGATTTTATTTTATAATTTATTTTATTTTATTTTTGATTTTGTCTGTTTGAAAAATATGGGGATATTTTTTAATACAATTGGTTGCAGCATCCTATGCAAAATTTGAAAGCAAATTTATGTAAAAAGTATTTTAAAAATACCATGAGAGATTTCACATATTCTGAACTAAATGTCGATCAAAATCTTAACATATGTTCCGATAGTCAAAACATAAATAATTTCAAGCATAGACTAATAAGAACATGCCATCACTCTTTTTCGATTTAAATATGCTAATGCAATCCCAAAAAAATTAAATAGTAAAATTATATTATCCTTTTTCATTTGTCACACTTTAAATAAATTGCAATAATTTATTGAGATAAATTAGTACGTCATAAAAATTTCGGCGATTTATTTTTTGTTAATAGTTGCATAATGAAACAATTTTTAAAAGTGGCACATTTTGCAAATCGTTTTTTTTTTTTTACTACCAATGGGAATTCAATAGATATAGTCTATAAATAAAACTTAAAATACAGTCTTTACAAGTTGATTAGCATTTTTGCTTGTCTAATACTTGCGTTAACTCTATTTGTTTCCCACAAAATTTTGAAGTGATAGTGAAATAACAATTGAGGCAAACTTAATTTTTTTTAAATTTTGCCCACATTTAAAAGTTTGCTGTATCAATATCAGGTCACAACTATAAGCTCAAATTGTTAATATATCGTAATAAAGCTCTTTGCGAAACATAATTTATTCAATAAAAAATGAAATGATAAAGAATAAAATTTGCTGCCACATTAAACATTTCAGGAAAACCTCCTGATATCATGGCAGAAGTTGATATGTATGTTCCTATTTGACATTAAAACTACTTTACATATATGTTACTGAGAATGACCGAAATTGGTGGTTGTTGATTTCAACCGGTGAATGTTGACAATCACATAGTCGCTTTGGTAAATGTCCGAAATATATACTAGGTCCAGTTAGTTGTCACTAAACGGTATACATTTGTCCGGTGAACCCTACATCAATGTTTTTTTAAGGTTCAGTGCCACTGTCCGATATGCCCTACACCAATGTTTTTTAAGGTCAAGTGCCACTGCCCAGTATGCATTTAACAAGTACTCCGAACACTGATGTTTCTCCTAATCCATCCTCAGCAAATATTAAAATATCGAATAAATATAATAATATCAACGAATAGATTAATATCAAATCGGATATAACACCGACATTGACCAAGGTGATTATGTGATTGTTGACATTCACCGGTGAAAGTTGACATTTTCGTGATTTCGGTCATGCCATGATACATACAAATATTTTAAAAAATTAATTTTTTTATTTATTTAATTTAATTAAAATTTAATTTTGAAAAAATTTGTTTTTGTTCCTTTAGACTCACTGAAATTAGTAATCTATTATATATAATTCTCTTACGTGGCTCCCAAATTTTGGCTGTATTTCTTTTTCGCCGGTGGCAACGTTTGCTTTGTTTTGAAAACACCAAAGCATTCTGCCTTTTAATGATGTGTTTCTGATCTAATATATATAATTCTCTTACGTGGCTCCCAAATTTTGGCTGAAGTACTTTGTACAACTAAATAAGATTCTTTTCACAACAGTTAAATATTTACTTTATTTTCTTCATTCATAGAGAAAACAGTCGGCAAAGAATTCTGTTAGGTTAAAAAACATTTCGCTAAAAAAATAACGAATTCTAAAAGAAATAAAAATAAACAACTTAAAAAATAAAAATGCTGTTGCCAGCCATAGAATTTTTTGAAAGTTAACTTAGCAACATAAATCAAAATGACATAGAAGCGCAACTAGATCAAAATTATGATACCTGAGCGCTTGACGTAACAAATCCTTCAATTCTAAAAGTGTTGTATCGCCAAATGCCCAAATTAACAATTGTGTTCTTAAAGAAATTCTATAAAAAGTTTTAAATAAACAACCTACTTCTACAACTGCTTCTTGAAGAACTTGGCTCATTGATTAAAAATATTGTTTTAATTTTACAGTACTAACTTTACTTCTACTTTCATTATTGCTATGACCCTCTTTCATTACATTTTACAACTTCATGCTAAATTTGAGGACTTTAAGTTGTTTTGTGGTTGAATACTGACATTTAGAAATGTGTACATAAAAAAAATAATATTTAGAGGTTAAGAGTTGCCTCAGAAAAATTTGAATTGTTGACATTGAACTTAACAATGGAAACAATCGTTTTTGTGAAAAATTGAATTGTATTGTTGACATCAAAACTAAAAATATTGTGTTTCAACTTAACAATACTACCTTAATTTATACTTTAGAATTGCCTCGGAGAAATTTGAATTGTTAGCAATGACTTAAACAAAAAGTTTTATTTTAACTGACAAATACTATATTATAATTTTAACTTTTTCTATGACTATACTCATTTTCTTACTCTTTTCTTTGTTTTTTATACATTATATATTTTGTCATAAAATAAAAAACTTATAGTTGTTCTGCTTCTGAACACTGATGAAAACACAAAATGATGGGCTTCATCAATAATCAAAAATATATACATTTATTTTACAAATTCTCTATTATTAAGGTTTCGCCCTTCAGAGAATTAAAAATACAAAAATATCTTCATCAAAGCCGATGCCTTACATCCGGCGTTCAGTGGCAGACTACTGTTTCATATTGTTTACAACACATGGCTTTAGCCCTCTGGAGGGAAAGACTTTAAAACAAAACTTACAACAGTTACTTTTCTCAACAACTGAAATTTAGAATAGTGTGATTGAGAAAAATATGTGAACTGTTTGCAATTTCAAATTAATATTGAAGTGTACAGGTTTAGAATTTTCTACAGTGAAAAGTTTTCGGAACTTCAGCATTCAAGTAAGTATACAAAAACTAGACGCTAAGAACGTATTCAATGAGCGAGCAAAGCGAGCATTGGATTGCGAAGCAATCTGAAATGAACTGCGAAAGCAGTTCCGGGGATTGGTGAGCGCCAGCGAGCAGGGGGCGAAGCCTCCTAGTTATTAAGAATTAATCACAATTATTATCAGAACTTCTATTAGTATCTACCTGGCACATTTACGCATTTTTAAAAACTATAAATTCATAGTATTTACACTTAGCTGGCATCTTCTACAGATTTTTCATTTTATTTTATTTTGATATGTAAAATGATGGCCACAAAATGCTTGCCTATTTTATTTTTTTTTTTTCAAATTTTGGAATTTTTAAATCCTTTGAAACTTTTTGAGCATTCGCTACAGTATCTATACATAATAATAAACGCGGCTGTGTGTGTGTCTGTCTGTAAATCACAATATATCGCCCCAGAAGCCTCGCCCAGGCACGAAACTCGGCACATAATTGAGTTTTGACATAATGAAGAAGTATTTTTCATCTTTTTCAAAAATTTGGATCAGTTTTTTAGTTATCAGTCATTTTGTAAGAAAATCTATGCTTTTTCGTCTTCAAAGAGCCATATTAAAAAATGCATATACTTTTCTCCACTCTTATAACTGTATGCTAATGCGAACCTTACAATTGAAATATTAATTTTCGACAACTTAAAGCAATAATATACGAAGGAATTAATAATTTAATTGTAAGGTTCGCATTAGTTTACATTTATCAAAGTGGAGAAAAGTTTAACTTTTATATTAAAAATATGGCAACATATTCGGTACGTAAATAGAACGCTTCGCTTTGATATATTTGTCACTGTTCATAATTGGGTATACTATAGCCTACGTCACAGGTTGTGTTATTCCTACTAAATTTAACCCATGAACGGCATTTTTTGCAAGCCTAACTTCAAGCCACAAATAAACAAACGAAGTGCTTGATCGTTTAATAGCTGCTCGCCAGATTTTATTGCATTATAAAGAAAAGTAATTGATATTCGATTTTTGATTAATAATTGATTTATGTGGATAGTGGCATTTATGTGGATAGTGGCATAGAATTTAGCATTGCGTCATGGTAAATGTTATTCCTACTAAGTGGAAGTAGTTGTGTTTTTTTTATATTATACCCAATTGTTATAATAAGTTTTTCTTCTAATTTCCACGCTCTATTTTTTTTCTTAAGCGAAGACGATAATTTTTGTAGCGATATAGAAATAGAAATTGATACCATGAAAAATTATATAGAAATAGAAATTGATACCATAAAAAATTATTTCGTGTTCTTTTCATGTATTTAGCATTTTAGTTTTTTTTTCTTAAGCGTTGTAGCTATATAATATATAAAACAGGAATTTAATTGTTTTTGAAGGAACGATCACACTTACCTTGGATCTCTTTGGTTTTTCTATTCTTTATTTTAACAGTTTTTATTAAATGTAATAAGTTATTTTCAGAAAGTTTCAGTTTGCAGGTAAGCACTTAGATTTTAATATTGAAGTTTCATGATTTGCTTTCATAGTAATTGTTGTTCTAAAGTATTCGTTGACTTCTTAAAAACCCGATTACTGACATGGCAGAACCGCCTTCCAAAAAACTTTGTATTTTGTCAAAGAAAAAGATATTAAGAGATTCTTAAAGAAGAAGAAGGGCCCAAGAAACGTCTGTGAAACGTCAAAGAAGGATGGAACATGACCGAATTTCGACATGCAATTCTAGAGCCCAAGAAGTATCAGACAAACGTCAAAGAAGAGGTTTTCAGCTATTGACCAATGATGATTTCGAAAAGCAACTTTTGTATGCTTTTACAATTTCTGAAACTTTATTTAAAAAAAAAGTCTCCACCTGATAGTTATATTATAGGTTAGGTTACCATAGGCCTTAGGTTACCATAGCAGAGTTACATCTTCAAACATCCTCAAGAGCTATAACACATCTGCAGCAGAACTGGATATGAAGACAAAATTGAAGGACAGGAACACTTTAATTGTCCACTAATCTTCAGATTTCCTGCTATGTTTTAAAAAACTTTATTTGTGAAAACCTTTAGCGTGGCGGACAGCTGGCCGCCTTTGGCGGCTAGTACAAAATAAATGCATGATAATCTCAGGATGGTATGTTTAAGTTAAAGATAAATATACTCCAGCTTACGATTCTAGGTGGTGTCACTTATCAGATATTTGACTAAATATTCTAAAACTTAGTTAACTTTATTATAAACATATTTATACGATGTGAAATGACTGCTAAACTTTCGTGTTTTCATGAATATAACTTCTCTGAAAAAATTTGTTTCTTTTTTATTTTTAAATTTAGGAGACTACTCCAATAGGAAGTAAACACAATGTTGCTCCTCGACCCTTTGCTCCCCTCGGAAGCGGAAAAGTATTGGTGAACAATCAGTACAATACTCCAGCTCCACTTTATTCCATGAACAACATTGCTGACACGCTATCTGCTCACACGGAAGTACTTTCATCCGGTGCTAAAGGGTAGGCTTTATATTTATTTTATTTTATAAACGTCGTTCAACAGTCGAACCAATTTTTTGAGCTTAAGACTACTAATGTTCCGTATTCTTGTAATTTTGAACCCTATCCAGAAGACGAGGGAACTATTGGATCAAGTATAGTGAGAAATTTGCTTTCATGGAAGACTTTTAGATGGATCTAACCAGCGTTTGCGTTACATGGCGAAGAAAACCACGGAGACCTCCCACGGTTAGCCTGAGGGCAAGGGGACTCTAACCCATGATCCGTCAACCACTGAGGATATTTTACGTCACTGTGATCGGTGCAAGCCGGATTATATTTATTTCAATTGGTTTTTCGTTTTTTAATATCTACTTTTAAGAGAGCCTGGTCATTCAGCGGTCAACATTCTCTTGATTTCGGTCATTCACAGTAACATGTATATAGAAAGTAATGATCTTTAAAATGTGGTGCAGGTTGTTTTTTATTATTGATATTTAATTCAAAATATTCAGAATTTGGCCTTAAAATATATATATACTATGATAAAGCCTTTATGACTTACTGTAAAATAAGTTTTTTTTTTTTTATAGCTATAAATTGCAAACCTACCTATGTGTTTTAAATCTATTATCTATGAGCTAAACTTATGCGCTTATTGAAACTTTCCCGCCCTTTCACTTGATCAGATAGAATTGTTTCAAAATTTTCACTTACATTCTCTTAAAAAATAGTTAGAATTCTATTAACTTAAAATAAATCTTGAAAATACACCCGAATCTATTGTTTTACTAATTTTCTTATCCCAGTTTCTAAATCATTGGTATCTTTTTCACAGTAGGAAAATAATCTCAAATGAATTAATATACAAAGCTTTTCTAAATTCTTGATTATTTCGCTCACATCTTTAGCTAAAGTTTTACATTTTTACAGTAAGGAATCACTTAGCGCAATTCTACTCTATTAAAATTTTTAGAGCGAGTCGAACCATAATATTGCTGAAATTTGCTCTCATTTCAATATGTTGTGTTAAGTTGAACCATAATATCGTACTTCTTAACACTTGACACTATACTATGGTTCAATTTAAACGCTAAATTGAACCATAATATCGTACTTAACACTTGAGGACCCGATAACATTTTTCACCTTGACGTTAAATTGAATCATAATATCGTGCTTCGTAGCACTTGTTACTTGATACTATGTCTCAACTTAAACGAAGAAATGATTCAATTCCTCAAGCGTCTCATTATTAATCCACAAAATTTACAACGTATTGCCATTCATGGAATATTATTTATCGTTAAACTGATTTTTTTTCTGACATTCATTTGAAATACTCGAGCTTCGATCATTTATTGACCGATAAAATTTGTATGTTTGCAGAATCAATTTTATGAAAGAACCACAACCTGTGAATAAAGACTCGGCTGTTTATCGTATGATCATGGAAGAAAAAGAAGGTGGCAGTGCAGATCATTTCAATCACGTTGATCAACAACCTTCCAGAAAAGGTAAAAAATAAATAGACGCACATAAAGTTTAAACTGTGGTTATTTTTAAAAAAAATATGTGTTAAAAGTATATAAAAATTTCATGTCATTAAAAACATACAGGACTAGGTACATAAAATCGTTACATAGAATCTTAGAAATATAATCTTGCGTAGTCTTTTACAGTCATAATATTGCATTGTACATAATTTTACCCAGTATATAATCTTACTTAGTAAACAATCTTAGGTACATAGTTACATCTTAGGTACATAAAATTGATTAACATTTATTGCCTGTATATAGAAAAAAATATGTTTTTTCAATTATAGTGTCAATAATCTACTGTATTCGGCCCATTGATCACTGATATGGTTTTGATCTCAGATCATTTTTCATCGTTGATATGGTTTTGATCTCAGATCATTCTTCATCGCTGATATGGTTTTGATCTCAGATCATTCTTTATAGATGATATGATTTTGACCACAAATCTTCTTCGCTGATGTGGTTTTGAATATCGATCTTTTATCATTGATGATATGATTTGACCAATAATTATTGATCATCGATTATACGATTTAACCATTGATCATTGATTATTAACGATACGATTTGACCATCGATCGTTAATCATTGATGATATGGTTTCTAACATCAATAATCGGTTATCGGTTGTCTGGATTGGACATGCATCATTAATCTTTTATAATATGGACTATGACTTTCGGTCATCAATGGTATGGTTTAACCATCGAATATATGGTTAGACTATCGATCAGGGATCATTGATGATATGGTTTTATCCATCGATAGTTGTGTATTGATGGGATTTATCATTAAGTGTGGGTATGGGCATTTATTGTTGATCAACGAACAGTGATATAGTTTCATTCATCATTGATGATCATCGATTATATGATTCGACCATCGATTGTTTACAATTTAAGATATTAAGCTAAGAATTTGCTAATCCAAAGAATGGAGTCTATCAATCAGTTTATAATAATTCACTTTAACCTTTTTTTTTACCTTTCAGATTCACCAATGATTCAACCTCAATCTGTGACATCTCACGTGTCAGCACCTATCACAAAACCGCCATCAGAAAGATCAGAGAAACCTGGTGCACCCAATGCCTGTGTAGAATGCGGGAAAACAATAATGTAACTTCAATATTTTTTTTTATTCATTGTTTTTTATTTGTTCATTTAAGAATTCAGTTTGACATTCCTTTTTAATTATTTTGTGTAAATATAATCAGGTTAAAATTCTTTATTTCTATCACTGTGATCGCCGATTGCTGGCCTAGTGGTTACTGTACCGGACTACGAGGCCAGTGGTTGTGGGTTTGAATCCCACCGTGGGCATGGATGTAACTTTCTCTCTCTCTCTCTCTCTGTGTTCTATGTCCTTTCTTCTGAGCCATTGTGTGAATGTAACCAGCCCTATAAAAGGACGGTTACGTTCATACAATTGTATGACGAGGGCGACGTATCTTAGCCACAGGTTACTACTGGGTAACCATAAGAGAGTAGCAATTCTGAGGCTTATGTGAAATAGACCCAAGTGCCCACCATTAAAATAAATAAATAAAATATTACTTTGGATTATATAATCTAATTAATTTTGATGCATGCCGTATTCGCATAATAGCTTGTGTGGACAAGTTGTATTCGAGAATTATGTTTTCTATTTTACATACTTTTTTTAATATAATAAATACTAATATTTTTTTGCTTTGATTCAAAAATTGTGTCATTTTTCAGTGGCGTTTTCGTAAGGATTAAAGATAAGAACTTGCACCCAGAATGTTTCAAATGCAGTACTTGTGGCACGTCTTTAAAAAATGCTGGTAAGTCTTACTAACTAATACATTTTCTTTCCATACTAGTCTAACGTACATTAATGCAAGTATATCAGAAAAGCTTAACTTATAAATGCGTACGGGTCAGTTTCTTATTGGGTAATAAGTGTAAGATTTCGCAACAGCAGTCACATGAGTCATGGTGGCACAGGGAATAGAGCGTTCGCCTCCCAATGAGGTAACCCGGGTTCGAACTCCAGTGTTGATCTCACCAACCACAGTGTTGACGTAAAATATCCTCAGTGGTTGATGGATCATTGGCTGGAGTCTCCTTGCCGTCAGGCTAACCTTGGAAGGTGTTCATGGTTTTTCTCTCCATGTGACGCAAACGCGGATTAGTTGTATCGAAGAGTCCACCACGAAGGAAAATTTCTTCGAATGCTTAATCCAGGAAATCCCTTGTATTCTGGATTGTGTACAAAATTACAAGGCTATGAATCTGAACATTAGTAGTCGTAAACACAAAATTGAATCTGCTGTTCAACGACGGTCATAAGAAAAAAATTTAAAAAAAAACAAGTCACATGCTGTACTATATTTTTTTAAATAAATGTCTTGATACAGCAGAAATAAATAATAAAGGGAAAGGCGAAAGCACTTCAATTACTACAGGCAAATAAACTGGTTTTTAAAATGTTAATCCATGCATTGTTTTTTCGACCTCCATGATGATTGTACAGGTTGAGGAAGCGCGTTTTTCCTCACACAAATGTTAATTTACGACTCGAGTGAGCAATGTTTTTAGCTCTATTACACAAGATGATAAGAATCTACATTGATAGTGGTTAATTTTATTACAAATATATCTCTTTCTTCATAGGTTACTTCAATGTAAACGACAAATTGTATTGTGATGCTCATGCCAAATTAGCCGCCAAGATAGCTGCATCTATGCCAACTTTTGAACCAATTACAATGAGTCAGTAAGTGTATACTTTTCAGAAGAAAAATTGAAGCATTGTTGAACTTATTGCACAGATAGAGTTAAACATTTATAAATAAAACTGCATTGCATTAATTGTATGCGTTGTAATAAAATTTTCAAATACCATTTGAAATGAAAATAAATATAAAAAAGATTAGCCCTCTGACGTTTTAGCAAAAGGGTGAAATTGACAGAATTTCTCCTTTACCTATCTAATAACACGGAAAGACCGGTTTCACTGTGCGGGGAAGACTGCTAGTTAAAAAAAAAACTATAATTAACTTTTCCAAAACTGAAATTAACTGTTGCAAGTTAAGAAGGAACAATTATCCCTATGGAGAGAGCCTGTTTGCATCTAATGGTTAATGGATGCCAAGCTCCAAGAGCGAACGAATATCAACATCTCCAACTCTTGCAACGACATTCTTTTTGCTTATAAAAAATAGCACAAATTAAATTTCTGTTCTACGAGTTGAACTATTCAAAACATTTTATATTGTTTCGAAAGCATAATTATATAATTTGATAGCTGAATAAAACGGAACTATATGCAGCCGTAGATGATTACTTAAATCCTATACCGCAATGGTCTTTTCTTAACTTGCAACGGAGTGTAGAAACCCGTAAGTGACGTCAGCATTTGTATCGATCTTGACTAGCTGTTGGTACGTGCCATTTGTTTATGTTAGCAACTGTTCTTTCCATTCCACTTCAAGTAAGCAGCCCGTTAAATAGGAATTCTCTTAAGTGACACAATCTATATTCTTTCAAAAAGAAAGATTTAGTTTATTTTTTCCTAATTCGAAAATAGATACAAAGCCATGTAGAGCATAAACTAACTAATTATGCAGCGAAGATGACGTATACGAGAACGAATTGTGTTTTAGCAAATTCGATATACGATACGGCATTGCATTTAATTACTTTATGTTAATTAAATAAAACTGATGTTACATGCCATGTTGTTTATAAACAATAAGTCAGTGCTGTGGTCAGGTGTCTGTGTATCAGTGATCTTCTTTTTCTTGAGTTACGAGTACCTATTTGATTCATATTCGTAAACATATAACAAAACAAATTTTTACCATGAAGCAGATTAATTTTAAAGCGACGGAATTTATACCGAGACTAGGAGTCAAAAAAGTAAAAGGTGCGCAGTCATTAAAATATGATTCGAACCCAGTGAGATGGAGACCATATCTAACGTTTTAACATTACTAAAAAATTATAATTTTTTATAGTGGTGGTTATATATACTTAATTTTCTGTGAAAAAAAGATGGCATATTTTTCTACAAGTTTTTTATCTTTTCAAGATTAGTAATATAGACACCAGGAAATACTAATGCCAGCTGGAGTGATAAAAATGAAATTGTAAATATCATTCATGTAAAATAAAGGATAAATCGGAAAATTCGCATTAGAACAGTTTCTGAATCACTAGAACGTCGTAGTACAATAATAATCTCGATGTATTTAAATTTACTTTTTTTCTTTTCTCAAAAATGTTTCTATTTTTAATCTACAATATCAATAATTTTCTTGTGTAATTTCAGCTACACTTTATTTCTTTTCTTGAAACTAGTTTTATCTTTATCCTGCCCAGTCTATATTTATGCCCGGTCTCAAAAAGTGGTTGATTCATGAAAAACACATAAATGTAGTAATTAAATCATGTTTGTGAAAATTGCAACGCCATGAAGGACTTACGCGAGGGAGCTGAAATTTTCAGGAAATGCAAAGTAGAGCATGATATGCAAATGATTAGAATTTCAGACCCGTAGCGCATGCGTATGCTGAGCAGTGCCCTCTGAACGGCGGATGGATCCGAATAAATAGACGGCTGTAGCCAAGCGAGTATGGTTATCGGTGGTTATCTGCTAGTGGTAACCGTTAGCTTAGTCATTACTTATGCCTATTCGACGAAAGAGAGCGAGATTTCAACAACTTACGGAATTTAAACGGGGGAGAATCATCGGCCTTCGTGAAGCTGGATTATCTTATCGTGCAGTAGCCGCTCGTGTGCAGCGTAACAGCAGCACAGTGATGCGGGTTTGAAAGCAGTGGATGGACGAGTGTCGGACAACTCGGAAATCCGGGAGTGGACCCTGCCATGTCACGTCAGCTCGCGATGATAGACACCTGTTCGGCGTTGCGCTAACGGACCGTACGGCTCCCTCTAGACAACTGGCAGCACGGTGGTCAATAGCTACAGGTGTTTCATTGTGTGCTTCATCAATTCGTAGACGTCTGCTGCAGCGTGGACTGCGAGCAAGGACTCCTTTATACAGGATCCCCCTCACGCTAAACCTTTGCCGCTTGCGGCTGCAATGGGCCAACCAGCATAGGGACTGGCTTGCTGATTGGCAGCGTATCGTGTTTTCTGACCAATCTCGCTTCAATTTGGGGTACCATGATGGCCGCATTCGTGTCAGACGCTATGCCGGTGAACGCCATCTTCCGGAGTGCGTTATCGAACGCCACAGAGGACGAACACCCGGGGTTATGGTCTGCGGTGACATAGCATATCATGGACGATCTCAATTGCTACGAATTGTGGGTAATCTGAACAGCAACCGGTACATCTGTGAAGTTCTACAGCCCCAAGCTGTTCCCTTCCTTCAAGCCTTGCTAGGTGCTGTATTTCAACAGTACAATGCCAGCTCTCATATTGATAGGACTGTTCAATCCTTCCTTGCATCGCGACAGGTACAACTTCTTCCTCGGCCGGCGTATTCCCCGGATATGTCGCCGATTGAACATGTGTGGGATTTCGTTGGTCGGCGTCTCGCTCGTAATCCTCGTCCTGTTGCTTCTACAGACGAACTTTGGTTACGCATACAAACAGTATTGAATTCTCTTCCTCATACAGACATTCAAAGTTTGCTTGACTCCATGTCGTGTAGCAGCACATATTGCGGAGCGTGGTGGTTACACAAAATACTGATTTCGATCTCTTGTTATTGCTTGTTTGCTTTGAAAGTTTAATCATTTATTTGTACCACTACCACTCAACTGTGTATTAAATTTCATTCAATTATGACGATTCCTTCATGGTGTTGCAATTTTCACAAACAGGAGTTTATCTATAGATAAAAATGTAAAATTATCTTTTTCTAAATGAATGATTACTTTCTCGTTATTTACAAGTACATGACTATAATGAGCTATGGACGAATCTCCTACGACAATTGCGTATCTTATTTCCCGAATCAAAATTTTTCATGGTTTTTCATTGATGGACGAATATATTCTTGATGGTAACCATCAATAATTCCATCATGAGCCATTATATTTCTTGATGGTAATAATCACCTTAATGTAGGAGTTCGGGCTGATTTTTAATGGTCCGACATAAGAATAGCAACTTGTTTTGATGGTTTGTTCATGTTGAACCATCACGAATTTCTATCAAATGTTGGAAAGAACAACCACCATCCCAATGTAGGAATTCAGATTGATTTATGATGGTCCAATATAAAAATACCCGAATTGTTCTGATTCCTGAGAACCAAAAAGAATTCCCATTAAACCCTCATGGAAATGCATTGTTGGAACCATCATATATCATCACGGATCATCATGGATCCATGAGAGTCAAACTTCTCTTTTTGGTTAACCATCAAAGTATTAAAGTAGCATTTTCTATCATGGAATGATGAAAGTTTGCTGGCATATCAAAAATCATGAACACGTAATGGAAAGTGTTCGGTGATGGGGACCATCATGAACCGCACTGAAACCAACATAAACCATCAAAATTTTTTGATAGGACCATCAAGAATTTTGACTTGGGTTGTGTATGGTATGAAGTTTTCGAATTTTATTTATTTATTTATTTTTCCAGACCGGATGTTCCACCTCCTATGACAATTCCAACAAGTCCAACTCCTCAAACACCGAGCCATCAAATGTCAGCTCCACTTTCACCAAATGCTTATAGAAGTGTTTCTCCGGTACCTTTTCATGTATGTGTTTGTTTGAAGTGACATTATTTTTTTTTTAATTGCATTGTTTTTTAAATTGGATTTGACACATTTTTGTGATACAAAAAGAAACAAAATAGATATGTTTAAGCTGACGTTACTTCATTTACCTGTCCACTGGCAATCTATCGTTGATTAATCAGTAGGATAGCTACCGATAGAATTACGTTTCTGTTGAGAAAAGAATACGTAACGTCCACTTGATCAATGATCTATCAAATGATCAGTCAGTTAGATAGCAACCAATAGAAATACGTTTCTATTGAGATAAGAATACGTAACGTCCACTTGAGTACAAACAGCTAGTTGCTATTCTCAACCACAAAGTTACTTTTTCTACTCTCGTTTGCAATCATTATTTAGTGTTTAGATTTAATAAATAACAAGAAAAGAATAGATGGGGAAAATGTTCACTTTCGAACTTTAGCATCTTTCTTAATTCCCAAGATCCTTTCAAGAAAAACACGATTTAATTTCTTTTCAACATTAAAAATCGATATTTGAAGTCTAGATAAAATGTCTATAAATGTGAATAACGTGGTCTTAAAAAAATCGCTGTGAATTTTGAATTAATTGTACATAGGTATTTTGCAAAAATGTTGGTTTATAGTGTTTTTTCTTATACCAAAGAATATCAGTATTACACGTTGTTAGCATTGTAACCTTACATCTTTAAATTAATATTTAAGCATAATACCTGCAATCGGAAGCATTTAAAATGCGATTCGATAGAGAAAGGTATGAGAATAAAAATACCGTAGCAAGAACAGGGGCTATATATTTATTTTTGCGCCAAACATTTGATCTTCTTCTTAGTTTTCTAATACTGAAACTTGTATTTCCCGTTTAGAACTTAATTATATTAACCACTTTCGGCATTTAATATACAGCATATTATGAACACCTCTACCATGGCTCATTTATAATGGTGGTAACACTATTTGTAACCTTGCACCAACTCTTCAATTAAATGACCATTATAACCCCTGATGGCTATGCTTTTTCCAAAGGTGTTTCAGAATGCTGTTAGTTACAGAAATTTTTATAGAGGGAAACAGATGTATTTTATCTCAATAAACTACATAGATGTTTTTTACACTTAAATGTAATTTTTCATTTTTACTTCAGAAACAGAGTGATATGCACCACGTTGATGCTCCGCAAAGCCCACAGCCAGGTTTCACCTCCCCTGTTTTCAAACCTTCTGTTGCACCTCCGACTGCACCTTCTTTCAAAGCGGTAAATTCTGCTTTTTCTTCCGGAATACACTCTCTGACCTAAAGTATTCGGACACCCAAATGGTTTGGCACTCTCCACCAGTCTTTGAATAGGACTTCCATCACAGATGAAGTGAGTGAGTTGCAGTGAGTAATCTGCTCTCTAATTCGTCCCAAAGGTGTTCTATTAGGGCTTTGAGAAGGCCAGTCCAACCCAAGTCGAATGGATGGAGCAGTCATCCTGGTGGAGGAGAAATGGGGATTGTCGGGAGTGCAGTATGGTCCATCTCAGAGTTCCAACCACAGTAACTAACGGCCAAACACCATCATAACATGTCCGGATACTTTTGTCCAGATTTTGTATTCTGCAACTTTTTTACATTCACGTTTACTTCAATGTTTGCACACTTCAATTTATTCGTTCTTTCATCCTTTGACACCTGTGTCCCTTTAATGTATTGTTGTCAGATGTTCTAATTACAAAGATAAATATATTTTCATAATTTTTGTCAGGCAGATAATGGTCTGGCAGTTACTATAAAACTCTATTGAACAATCGGAATTATATTTCTACTAAAATATGAAATCAAAAAAAAATTTGTTCATTTTTTTTTCGTTTCTAAAGTTTTCAAACTACTTTTATTGGATTCTAAATCATAGCACAAATTTGATTCCTATAATTTAGCCTTTATTTTAATTAATTTTATTTGATAACCGTTTTTTAATTTCTGATCAATTTCATATTATTATATTATAATTATGACCGTCGTTGAACAGCCGCCCCAAGTTTTGGGTTTACGACTACTAATGTTCAACCCCGTAGCCTTGTAATTTTAAACCTGACTCGGATCCAGAAGACAAGGAAACTCTTGAATCAAGTATTCGGAGAAATTCGCCTTCTCGGAGGACTTTTTGATGGAACTAACCCGCATTTGCGATTCAAGGAGAGGAAAACCATGAAAACCTCCCACGGTTAGCTTATCTTACGATCCGTCTACCACTGAGGATATATTACGTCAGCACTGTGGTTGTTGCGAGTCGGATGCAGAATTCGTATCGACCAACCGTCGTTAGGATTCGAACCCGTTTCACCTCAATGGAAGGCGAACGCTCTGTCCCCAGAGCTATCACGGCTCACAGCAACTTTATTCAAATAAAGTATTTTCCATGATTAAAAATAGCAAAATGCAATAAAAGTGTCAGAAAAAATATTTAAAAGGGACACATCTGCAACTCAAAAGGTTAACTGCATTTATCTAACTCAAAACTTTTAATGCTCGTGAAACGCGATTTTTCCCTTTCATTTCAGAGGGACGTTAACTCAAAGGATTCATAAAACTTGAATCTACTTTCAGAATTTTCAAATGACTTATTTGTTTCAGCCCGGAACCCCTGTCAATCAAGCTCCCCAGATATGTCCTTCAGTACCCTCTGGAAATATTTCAAGTACTCCAGGTGGAGGCCCAGGTAAGCAGTAAATGAGCTGACTTTAAGGTGCTATACTAACATCAATATTTTGACTCTTTTTTTTTTCAAAGTTAGCTTTAATCGAGCAAGGATCTGGATTTTAATTTTAATTTAATAAATTAAACTTGTATATGTATTCATATTTTTAGATTTGTTTAGTTAAATGCGGGGTTAATGAGTGTTATGCTTAATATAATACAATTACACTTAAAATTGTTTGAGAGTTTTAATATAATTAGACTAAATTTATAGTATGGAGATTTAAAACTAATGTTTCTAACTCTAATATATATTAAAAGTCAGGGTCTCACAAAAAGAAGTTGAATCGTACAGGGTTCCGTCACTGAAAAAGAATGTAAATCGCTGCTTTAGATCATATATACGTGAATTTTCGAGCTTATAACAATTTGATTTTGTTTTTTTCAAATTTGAGTTACCACTGTTAATTAATAAAGAAAATTTTCTGTGATTCACTAATTTTTAATAAATGTGTCTTGATTTTCTGAAAAGGTAAAATAAAAGAGCCAAGAATGCATTTTTTTTTCGTAACAGACAATGTTATTAAATTCATTCTTAATATTTTGAGTTATCTGGCTAATAGGCACAATGGTTGCAAATTGTAAAAATTCCAAATTTAAAAGTAAAACAATCTAAAAGGAGAAGAAAGAAAAAAGTCCTTTTATCCAAACCCCGTAAATATGTCATCATTAATTGAAGTAAATAAATTTGTTCTTATGCATTTATGTGTTACATTGTATGTGTAAAGTGGTCCTTATTGCTGTGAGCTGTTTAATATCCTCTAACGTTGAAGTGAAGGGGCATGTTTTTAACACTCCCCCCAGCATTCTATCATATTCTTTCTTTTTCTAATTTCTTCTTCTAACTTTATGCTAAAGTTTTAAGTGAGTGCTTTTTTATGAATACCAGCAACTTTATCCCGTTTATACATCAATAGTCTATCACAAATTATAGCTTTATAATAGTAAGAAACATTATTGTTTAATAAATACATTTTTAGAATTATGTTTGTTTTTGTTTTTTTAATTTTTGGATTTTTTTTTTAAATTTGTGTAAAAAACATTAAAAATAAAAATGAGAATTAATTAATGTTTAACATCATTTAAAAACTAGCTGTTAAAAAATTTAAGAGTTGTGAAGTAATATCCCTGTTTGCTTTTGAATGCATTTAAAACGATAAGTTCACGGATAATCGCACGTTAAATAAATAAAAATGAAAAACAGATTTTATACGCTTCAGGAAAAATTAGAAGTGATTGTAACATGCATTTTAATTGCATTTTATTTTATACTACCACAATATTTTAAATACAATAAATCTAAATTTTCAACTGCTTTTTACCAAACTGACACCAGTTTTTCCAGGGGGGTACAAACCAAGTAAAAAATATTTTGATAATTTACGGATGAACTTATATAATTACGGATGAACTTATTTTGTTTCCGAAATGAATTTTGAAGAACTATGAAAACAATTCCGAGGAAAAACACTTCACTTGTAATGACTTTTACAGTGTTCACAATGCTATAAACATGTTAAATAGTAGTATACAATTTATGTGTATAGCTCGATAAAAAATTAAATTTTCATATTTCATCTTATTTTAAAAGTATCAAAATTTTCAGTAGTGGAAATGAATATAAATTTGAAATGGTGAAAGAATAATGATAATAATATAATTCTTCTTCTGCCAGTTTTACCAGTTATTAGGAAAAACATCAGTGTTCAGAGTACGGGCAGTGGCACTTAACTTTAAAAAAAACATCAGTGTAGGGTATACCTGGCAGTGGTACTAAGCTTTTAGAGAAACATTGACGTAGGGCATACCGGGCACTTAACTAAACATGGTATATATTTCGGACATTTTTCAAAGCGATTATGTGATTAACAACAACCACCCGTTTCGGTCATTAACATACACAACTTGCTACAATTTCTAGCTAAAAGCTACTCTTAGTGTAACCAGAAAGAAAGAAAAAACATATTTAGTTTTCCTTTTTTTTTTTTTTTTCAATTTAAATCTGGTGAAAAATATCTACTCGTTTCAATTAAAACTCTGCCAAATCCATCTCATAAGTTTTAAAAAAACCTTTAATAGGAAAATATGAATGCAATTTTTGTTCATAACTTAGCATTAGAGCGTAATTGGTGAAGCTGATCAATCAGAAATTGATGAAATAAAAATCAAAAGTCAATTTGAATGAAAATATTACAACAAGGTTAATCGCATGTTGCAATTTATTGGCATGGACATAAGTGCATTGTTGTTTGGATTTATGAGCTTCATTCTTTTTCACGCAATGCCAGTATAAAATCTGCGTTTGTTGAAGTTTGCATGCTTGTTTTCATATAATGCACGACAGTTTGAAGTGTTCTATTTAACTTATTAATGAATTAAGAATTATGAACGAAAAACGAATTAGAACTGACTGTTACTTTGAAGAACTACTTTGTTAGGGCTGTTTTATTACAAAAGTATTCAATACAGATAACTAATCCAAAGCCATGGACTCATCATTTTATATCAATAACTTAAAATCTTAGCAGTTCTTTAGAATATGTGTTACATTACAAGTCTGATAAAAATATCTGTTAAAAAGTAATAGATTCAGGATTTTATAACTGTTGCTCGTTCCTCATAGTGAGTGGCTGATTTGTAACAGAGAAACAAATATTTAATAATCGTTTTAAATACCGAATTGTATTTAAAAAAAATCAGTTGCCACGATTTAAACGCATTTCGTTGGTTAGTTTGAAACTGAATAATCACAAACAAGTTGAAAAATACACCTGGTAGCTTTTTTTTTTATTTCAGTTCTTTTTATTTAGAGCTCTTCAGAAAAAAATATTAAATAACAAGGGAGTAGAAATCAAAAATTAGTAGAATTTTTATTTATTTTTCTTGGGGGGGGGGGGGCAAATATTATGTTCATCGCACTAATAATGAAAAATTTATGCTTGGAACAAAATTAATTCTGACATAAATTAAAAAGCACATCTGTGTTTTTTTTTAACAAATATCCCCCAAGAAAATTTACATAACAGTTGATAGAATACTGTAGCATTTAAAAAAATCTCTTCCCTTTGCAGAACAAAACGACAATCTATTTTTACCTGCATATTTAAAAATAAAATTATATTTATAGTTCTATGAATATCAAATTAATCAATGAAAACTATATATATTTCTAAGAAATATTTAAAATTATATACTAAACCAATCTTTTATATCGAATAAAAATTCTAGAGAAATGTGCTCGAGGCGAATGTCAAAAAATCAGGCGAATGAAAATTTCTGCTGATTTGAAGTCATCATCAGCTGGTTAGTATAGTAGTATAGCCAAGAACATTTCATTCGTTATAGAAGCCAAAATGAATCTGTCGGCTCAATGGTATAAATTTGTTGGCATCTGAAGCAAAAATAAATGACTGGCTTGCAATCGAAAAGTAGTAAATAACCAACACTTATGAAAACTGCATTATCTAACCAAAAGTGTCCTGAGGCTCATATTAATATGATGTTGGTCCCTCTTTTGCATCTGCACACTTGAATAGGAATTGACTTCCATCGCAGCTGAAGTGAGTGCGTTGCAGTCTGGCTATGTCGTAATCTAATTCGTCCCAAAGGTATTCTATGAGATTTAGATCAAGACTCTTAGATCAAGACTCTTAGAAGGGCAGTCCAACCCAAGTGTGTGAATGAAGTCTGCTGAAAAAGAAAAATGGGCCTTCCCTGAAATATTGCCATAGAATGTCCACAGACATATCTCAGAATTCATGTTTCCAGCCACAAGATTTAACGAGTCCAAACACCCCCACACTATTATGCTTCCACCATCATAGCAACCGCGTGTTCGCATACTTTTGGCGAGATAGTGTTACAAACACAAGGAAAGAAACTATCCACATTTTTTTTATGTAATTCAGTTTTACAAAATATCTTTATACATATTTTCAAACATTTTTTTATTACATTTTATTACTCTTATATATTCTAATTTATTTTTTAACGCAGGTGGGACGGTGATATCCCTTTTATATATTCTTTTTCTGGTGCTCTAATTACAAGCAAAAAATGTTATGTTATTGGAATTATATTTGTACTAAAATATAAAATGAAAAAAAAAATTCTTGATTCATATGCAAAAATGTATCAATATATTGATTTTGTAATCTAAATTATAAAATTTAAATACTTCAAAGTTTCAGGAATACCTGAATCCTTAAAATTTAAAATTCAGTAACTAAGTTTAATGAACAGAATGAAACAAAAAGCATTCAAAAATCTTAATTTGTTACCGAATAAGCAGAGAAATTCCGTGGAGGAAGCAAAATTCCTTTTTTCTTTTTATGTTTGAAGGGAACCCTTAACCCTTTGATGCACATGGACCGTATTTATATGTATATGCAGGGTGGTGTTTACAGAACACCCTGCATATACCTCCTTCAGATTAGTTTATTCGGTCATCGAGCTTATAGATCACATCATTCAGTTGCTGTTTCTAAAATGACCATGCCTCACTAAAATGATCAATGCCTCACTGAAAACTTTTTTATTTAAAATTATACTTCCAACTTTTATTTCTCTCTTTTCTTTTTCTTTCTTTCTTCTTGTATAGGTCACAAGTTTGTGTGGCCACCTCAAAAGAATGCCCCTGCTGTACCAGCAGATCCTGCACTGACTTCCAATATAACTCCTACAATACCCAGTTACCGTCCACCTCCAGGAACCCAACATGCCGCTTCCGTACCTAAATACCAATCCCCTTTGTCCCCTACCCCTAAAATACCTAGTCCCACCCCACCCTCTTTTACTTCTGGCCCGAAAGTGGCTCCCATGACCAGCCCAAAACCCCGCAATCCCGTTGTTCAGAGCAATAAGGCACAAAGTTGGAATGTAGGCAGCTCATTGACTAGCACTACTACTTCAGATTTTCAATCCGGTGTGGCCATGAATCTCGGAGCCGGTTCCAGGCCAGCACCGAAAAGAGGAAGAGGTCAGATGAAACAACAAGTTGCTGCTGGTGCCAGGATTCCTATTTGCCAAATGTGTGGAACGCCAATTAGGTGAGTAATCAAATCGGCTATTAATTTAGCAGTAAACTATAGGTGATTTTAAGCTCTGTACCCTCTGTGGTTACACTACATTTGAGGGTGTCCCTTGATTCTCGCCAAGTTGTGATCGAGGTTGATCGGCAAGCTGGGCGATGTTGTTTTATTTATGGGAACGTCTATAGTTTTTTTTTTTTTTTTTTTTGGAAACCCAGTCGTGATTCGAGTTGATTTAGATTTCAGCATTATTTTTTAATGTTCAACGCCATCTTCGATTCGTATTTCGCCGCATTTATGTGGCATGGAGGATAACAGATTGTACTCATGGTAAATTTAAACAATATCTAACTGTTATTAGAGAATTCTGTGTACCTAAAAGTGAGAATATGCAAGATAAATAAAGTGAATCGATTTTTTTCCCTTTTTTTCTGTGCTTACTCCATTAATTTTTGCTTCGATTTTATTGAAATTTCATTGTGTTCTGGTCGTTATTCCTGTTTGCACGGTGCTCCGCTCGAACAGGAATGGCGCCAAACAAAAATCGCCAATTTCGCCAAGAGGGCAACCTCAAATATATTTTTACCCCAACTCTGTATAAACCAATACTGAAAAGACTACCGCTGTCAAAAAATACAAAATTAAAAATAACCTCAAATAAAACTCAAAGGGTTTCGAAAAAATTAATAACGAAAACTCTACTATTACGTTTAATAAAAGGGAAAAAATTTTAACTCAAGAACAATATTACAGTATTGCCATTCCAAAGAAAATCTGACACTCATTCAAAAAAACTATTAACATTCCAAAACTATCACCATGGCGATCACAAAACTCTACTCGATCGTTGCCATCTACTAACTGACATATAATAAGTAAATTGTTTTACAAAAAATACAATGCGCATAAGCACATAATATCTTACAACCGCTCACAAGAGATCAAACTACTACCAAAATATTAATGCCGATGATGAAATATCCTCAATCTATCTCAATTTCTGGTAGGTTTTTTTCCCCACTAGGTCACTAGAATACAATTCTCTCTTTTAAGCCTGCTCTGTAATGACTGAAATTATGGCGGGCGAATATTTATAATTTTAGCATGGCCATATGCCATATTATTACCATATAGATGTATTTTCTTTGTATTGCATTTCTGCGATTGTGAAAAACGCGTACATTTAATAGACTCTAATAAATGAGCCTAAAAGTTAATGAAATTTGTTTTAACTCACCCTTTAACGAGTCATTTATTTTTAGAAATTGTAAATTAAAATATTTGGGGGGGGGAATTCATTGAGCCTATTATATAAAATTAATTTAAATTTTTCTTCCGGGATAGTTGGTTAGCAGGGCGCTGGACTCACGTTCGTGTGAACAGGAGTTCGAATTCAGACGACTGAAGACTCCCCGTGTAGTAAATGGTGACTGGTGCATTTAAATGCGTCGAGTCACTAAGTGCTCCATGTTCGCATAACAAATTATGCCTCTGGGGGTACTGAATAGGAGATGGATCGTTCTCTGGGCTAGGTCAAAATTACGGTATGTGAAGGAATGGATGTATAAATGGGTCCACCTTAGAAACGGATGTGATGTAGTGGTGTGGCAGAAGTCAAATTGTTGACCGTAGATGGCGCCACTGGAAAACAACAACGGTGACACCCCTTGCCTTAATGGCCTTCGACAACACCAACAATTTAAATCTTAACGATATTTTTTGGTGCTAAGTACATTAAGTGTTATTAAAAAAAGTGGGGAGCTTAATAACTTTTATTTATTTTTACTTATAAAATACATTTTATAAATGATACTTACTGCAAAAGGAATTATATATTATATCTTTTGTCTTATGGTTACCAGTTTATAGGACGAAATATAAGGAAAATCAGGCATCTCCAGCCAAATAATAATAAGTGGAACTCTAATAATTAGTAGGATAATTGTAAAAATAGTTTACATTTTCCAGTTTGAGAGCTTTTAAAACTAATAAATTTTATTTGAGAAACTGTTTTGGCAAAATATAGAAAATATTTACCTGATTTTTATTGTGTTACTTATTATTTATTTATTTTGTGAACTTCGCAGCGATTACTTAATGTTGCTTTGAAGCATAAACATTGCAATGCTGCTCTTCTACAAACTATTTTTTTTTCGTTGCTTTTTGTGCTCACTTGCAAATCTAAAAAAAAAATGGAGAATGCGTTTAGAGGTTAGTTAGTGATATCAAGAAAAATTAAGTATGTTCTTTCTTTGTCTTCTATTTTTAATTTATATAATAGTTTTGGTAAGTTTTTGATAATTCGGGAAATACACAACTGGAAAGTCGTTAATACAGAGAGAATTTAGAGAACTTAAAATATTATAACTAAAAATTATATGAAACAGCTAAACAAGATAACTTCAACAATTTAGGAACAGCAGTGGGCATGAACTCAGGTGATTAGAACAATAACCCATTATTTTTGATCAACTTTTTGTAACATGGTAAAGATAAATGTATTTAATTATAGGTGTTGCGTTGAATGGTAAATATAATAAAAATATAACACGACTATTCAGATAAAGACAACAAACAAAAGAACTAGAACTGAAACGTTCTGAAATTAGATAACAGATTGTATTAGTAAGTAAAATTAGTAACAGAGTATATCTTGTATTGTATAGTTTAGAGAGAATTCACGTAACTTTAAAAATATTATAACTAGAAATAATGCAAAACAGCTAAACAAGAAAACATCAACAATTTAAGAACAGCAAGTGGGTATGAATTCAGGTGATTCGGAAACACGACAAATTGTTTTCGACCAATTTTGTGTAACGTGGTAAATATACAGGTATAGGACAAAATAATAGGAACACCTGTGAAAAAATGAAAATATTTTATTAATAAGGAGTTGGACCACCTTTGGCCTGAACGACAGCTTGCATTCGACGTGGGATTGACAAATAAAGGTCTTGAACAAAGTTCATTGGAATTTGCAGCCATTCCTCCTGCAGGGCTGTCTCGAGTTCAGAGAGTGTGCGTGGAGGAGGAAACCGAGCACGGACTTTTTTCTCCAAAAAACCCCACAAAGGCTCAAGGATATTGAGATCAGGGGACTGAGGACACCACGTTAGATGGTCCACTTCATCATTATGCTCATTTAACCATGTTTGAACACAGTGAGACGTGTGAACAGGGGCGTTGTCATCTTGGAACACAGGACGTTCTCCCGGAAAGAGAGTATGAAGCATAGGGTGAAGATGATCTGCAAGAATGCTTCGGTAATGGTCCTCTTTGACCACCCCCTCAAGACAACGAGAGGCCCCAATCCACGGGCAGATATAGCACCCCACACCATCACAGAAACACCTCCATGTTTCACGGTTGAAACCAGGCAGTCTACATGAAATGCTTCTGCTGGCGTTTGCCACACGAACACACGTCCGGTGGTCTGGAATAGTGTAAAAGAGGATTCATCAGACCAGATGACTTGTTCCCATTGCAATTGTGTCAATTTTAGGTGGTCTTGGTACCACTGTAGTCTCTTCAAAGCATTCCGCGCTGAAACTAACGGTTTTGGAATAGCTACTCTGCCATGAATGTTAGCAGCATGCAACTCCCGTTGAATAGTTTTCATGGGTACAGGGTTCTGAAGATGGGTATTCATCTCGGATGTTATCACCGGCAGTATAGTCTTGCGTTTTCGAGCGACTATCCTCTTCAACACCCGTCTATCACGGTCTGACAACTTCGACTTCCTGCAGCTGTTGTGCCTCGCCGAAGACATCTTACCCAACTTTGTGTATGCCGAAAGAGTCCTTCATACAGTGGTCCTTGAAACACCTACAAGGTTCGCTGTTCTGGACACGGGCGCTCCAACCAGGCGAGCTCCGATTATCATGCCTCTTTTAAGGTCAGAGAGGTCGGACATAATCTCGTTTTGCTAGAAACAGATTTTTCTCATGCAAATCTCACACTGCCAAATGCTAGACAGATACCTTGCCTTTCATCACCACTAGGTGGCACATTCTTGCGACACGTGCCCGCCGCTTATTGGACGGTCGAGAACGACTCCATTCTTTCACAGGTGTTCCTATTATTTTGTCCTATACCTGTA